CCCCGGTAAACCTCATCCCACGAGGAATAACGGGGCTGCCGACAAAGGGCTTTGATGTCGGCAGGGGAGCGTCCAGACTAGCGCGCTGAGTGGACAAACAGCTGATCAGCTGTTTGTCGGCTCAGCGCGGCAGCCATGTAAATTTAAATGAAGCCGCGATCATTTAAATTGCAGCTTCATTTGACTTTGCCTATGTGTCTAATCTACATGCCTCTGACGACAGAGGCATGTAGCTAGACGCAGCCTTACTGATCAGAGCATAAGGTTATTAGTAAGGATGAAGTAAACTTCTTCAAGCCCAGACAATGATGATAAACTTCTGTTGCAAACTTTCATCTTATTCCTTTATACCACTGTCTATCACTGTAGTATCTGTTGTTGACACTGATTTTACATGAAAGGTGCTCAAACTCCCTTTTGGACTTCATGGAGTTGCTCGCGCTTCTCCCTTTTGAGGATCAAAACTGTCTGAGGTAGACTTTTGTTTTCATATTGTGAGAGTCACTTATGGTGAAAGGCTTTTTCAGAGGGAAGTTTTGCAATATTCCATAATGATGGTCCTCCAGCAAACAATTCCCTAGTTGGATCTCCTTGACCTACAATGGTTTATCCCCAGTTCTCACATGGTTTGTGATCTCTGTTGTCCCAAGGATCACAGCTTTCACAGTGGTTCACAAATCAAAATGTAGTCTTTGATGAAGCTGGGACTTGATCTACTAATTGCTTTGAAAATTAGGACCCAGCCCTCAAGCCAACACCTGTAGGTGATCTTCAGATACAGTGAGTTGCAGTATTTCATTTTGGTGGTGACAGATGCATATATTATTATGGACAAATCATCATCTGGGAGGAAGGGATGAAGTTTCTTAGCAAGCTGGAGGTGAAAGAAGGTATTTTTGGAAACTTTTACTTGGCTACTGAAGTGTAGTGAGAAGTCAGGCTGAATGCCAAGTCATTGCACAGCAGTGATAAATGAATGAATGGCGGGCTGTATGTATCTTTTGGAATGTGGAGATGATAAAAGGGGGCAATTCTTCAAAGTGTTATTTTTCTCTTTAACCAGCATCGCTTTGATCTTATCTCAGTTCAAGTAGAACCAGTTTATCTTAAGAGTTATTTTTTGTAGGAATTCTGACATAGTAGTAGTGTGTGTGTGTGGGGGGGGCACAGTTGAAAAAGAGAAATAGCTGAATGTCATCAGCATACTGCCCTCTATGTGAGACAATGTCTTACTTCCAAAAAATACAATTTTGCCAACATTATTATCTTTTTCAGGTTGAAACTTTTAATCTCAGGTTACATTTGATTTGGTTGTATTTGATTTTTTTTATAGAAATTGCAATATTTAGTACATAAATTTTAATAACCCTTTGAAATAGTATTAAGTCAATGAATCTCCTCTAGGTCTAAAACATCCTTTTTCTCACTATCTATATATGACATTTTGATATGTTGAGATTCTAATACGGGTATAAAGTAGTGTTAAGGCTTCACCTCTGATCTTAACAATTTTGGCAAAATGGTGAATTGAAGATGTGGAATTTTCTTGTCTACAATATTTATTCACATTTTTAGAATAGCTAGTGTACTTTAGCTGAGCAATAGTCTGTAGGATCTTTGCACAAAGAGATTATTGAAGTGAATATCTTGCAAGACCATCTTAGCCATATACCAAAATATAACTGCATGACTTCATATCAATAAACTGGGGAAATGAAATCTAGATGGTGCATAAATGGCTAGGTAACCATTGTCTGGGAGTAATTACTAATGGTTCACAATCATGTTGGAAGGGCACAAGAAGTGGGGTCTGTTCTGGGACCAGTTCTGTTCAATATCTTCATCAATGATTTAGATGATGGCACAGAGTATAATTATTAAGTTTGCAGATGATATGAAGCTGAGAGGGGTTGCAAGTGATTTGGAGGATAGGGTCAAAATTCAAAATGATGTGGACAAACTAAAGAAATAGTGTGAGGTAAATAGGATGAAGTTTAATAAGGACAAGTGCAAAGTACTGAACTTAGGAAGGAGCAATCAATTTCACACATATAGAATGGGAAGTGATTATCTAGGAAGGAATACTGCTGAAAGGGATTTAGGGGTCACAGTGGACCACAAGTTAAACATGAGTCAGCAACGTTAACACTGTTGCAAAAAAAAGCAAACATGATTCTGGGATGCGTTAACAGGAGTGTTGTGAGAGAGACACAAGAAGTAATTTTTCTGCTCCGCTCTGTTCTGTGCTGGTTAAGCTTCAGTTGGAGTATTGCGTCCAGTTCTGGACACTACATTTCAAGAAAGATGTGGAGAAATTGGAGAAGGTCCAGAGAAGAGCAACAAAAATGATTAAAGGTCTAGAAAACATGAGCTATGAGGGAAGAGTGAAATAATTGGTCTTGTTTAGTTTAGAAAGAGAAGTCTGAGAGGAGCTCTTTTCAAGTATCTAAAAAGATGTTACAAGAAGGAGCAAGAAAAATTGTTCTCCTTGGCCTCTGAGGATAGGACAAGAAGCAATGGCCTTAAGTAGCAGCAAGGGAGGTTTAGGTTGGATGTTAGGAAAAACATCCTAACTGTCAGGGTGGTTAAACACTGGAATAAATTGCCTAGGTGAGTTGTAGACTCCTTCACTGGAGATATTTACGAGCAGGTTAGACAGACACTTGTTAGGGATGATCTAGAGCAGGCCTGGGCAAAATACAGCCTAAGGGCTGCATCCGGCCCGCCATGCCACCGGATCTGCAACTTTTATTAAACAACCACAAACTCCCCTTCCCTTAAAAGAGATCCATTTTGGTGGTTATCAGATCCTCTGCTTATATTGGCTTTTGGCATCAGTTGTGTAATCTCTTCCCATTTTTAATTTTACCATACACTTATGATGGGATTAGTAAAGAAACACTGGGAAAAAAAGAACATTGTTGTCCGGGTTATATCTCAATTGAGGTTAAACTGCATTGCCACCTCTGACTTCTAAGAGACTGATTGGAGGCAATTCTGAATCATGTACCACTAAAAAAGAAAAAGAATTCTGTCTACAAAACTCTACATCATATCCCAGATACTGCAGTTGGTGATTGTGCAGGAGAGTTTCCTTTGATTATTTTTTTTCACCATAGTCTATATGAAATGCTAAGAGGAGAGAACTATCACAACCAATATCAAGTTCAACTTAAAAATCAAATATTTTCTTTTAATTTTCACTAACTCTTTA